AAACCATTAAAACATCAATAAAAAAAAAATCTCCAAAGAAGATATACAAATGGCCAATATGTCCAGGAAAATATTAACAATATCATTAGTCTTTACATAAATACAAATGAAAGTCCTGATGAAATACCCTTTCACAGTACTTGCAGACTATAATATTTTTATTATAAAAAGGAAAATATCAATGTAGGTAAGGGTGTGGAGAAATTAGAACCCTCATACGTTGCTAGTGTGAATGTAAAATGGAGCTGCCACTATGGAAAATAGTCTGGCCTTTCCTCAAAAAGTTGAACATTGATTTACCATGTGACCTAGCATTTCTACTCCTGGGGAGTTACACGCTCAAGAAAACTGAAAACATATGTTTGAACAAAAGCGTGTATACCAATGTTTATAGCAGCATTAGTCACATAGCCAAAAAATGGAAACAACCTAAATGTCCATCAACTAGTCAATGGATGAACAAAACATGGTACATCTATATAATGGAATATTATTCAGACAAAAAAGAAAGAATTACTAATACATGCTTTATGGATCAACCTTGAAAATGTTTTGTGAAGTGAAAGAAGCCAGACACAAAAGCCCACATTTTCTATGATTCTGCTTATGTGAAATGTCCAGAAAAGGAAAATCCATAGAGACAGAAAGCAGATTAGTGGTTGCCAGGAGCTGGGGGAGGGCAGCATGGGGAGTGACTGCTTCCTGGGCACAGGGTTTCTCTTCGGGATGATGAAAATGTTGGGTGGATGGAATTAGGTGGTGGTGATGGTTGTACAACATTGTGAATATACTAAAAGCCACCTGTACATTTGGAAATGGCTCAAATAGTTATTTTATTTTTAGTGATTTTTCCTCAATAATAAAATAGTGCATACAGATTTGTAAAAACTGTATAGAGATCGATACAGGTTGATATTCACCTGCGACTGTCAAAGATCAAAAGATTTCACCTTATACTGAGCTACTGAAAATACATACTTCTATCTTCTGCACAGCAGAGGAAACCATCAACAAAATGAAAAGACAACACACAAACTGGGAGAAAATATTTGCAGATCGTATATCTAACAAAGGGTTAATTTCCAAACTATGTAAAGAACTCATACAACTCAACAACAAAAAAATGAACAGCCTGATGAAAAAATGGTCAGAGGAAATGAACAAATATTTTTCCAAAGAGGATAGACACATGGCTAACAGGCACATGAAAGGATGTTCCACATCACTAATTATTAGGGAAATGCAAATCAGAACTACTATGCGATATCACCTCACGCCTGTCAGAGTGACTATTATTAAGAAGACAATAGGGCCAGCCCCGTGGCTTAGCGGTTAAGTGCACACGCTCCACTACTGGCGGCCCAGGTTCAGATCCCAGGCGCGCACCAAGGCACCGCTTCTCTGGCCGTGCTGAGGCCGCGTCCCACATACAGCAACTGGAAGGATGTGCAGCTATGACATACAATTATCTACTGGGGCTTTGGGGAAAAAAAGGAGGAGGATTGGCAATAGATGTTAGCTCAGAGCCAGTCTTCCTCAGCAAAAAAAAAAAAAAGAAAATAAATAACAAGTGTTGGAGATGATGTGGAGAAAAGGGAACCCTCATACACTGCTGGTGGGAAAACAAACTGGTGCAGCCTCTGTGGAAAACAATGTGGAGATTTCTCAAAAAATTAAAAATAGAAATTCCCTATGATCCAGCTATCCCACTACTGGGAATCTATCCAACGAACCTGAAATCAACAAATTGGATGATGTGGAGAAAAGGGAACCCTCATACACTGCTGGTGGGAAAACAAACTGGTGCAGCCTCTGTGGAAAACAATGTGGAGATTTCTCAAAAAATTAAAAATAGAAATAGCATATGATCCAGGGAGTGGAAGGGTGAAAGGGGTAAAGAGGCACATATGTACGGTGATGGATAAAAACTAGACTATTGGTGGTGAACACGCAGTCTATACAGAAACTTATGTATAATAATGTACACCAGAATTTTACACAATGTTATAGTCCAACATGACCTCAACAACAACAAAAAAAGACGCAACTACAGCTGAGGTATGAAATAACCCTGCATGCTCATGGAAAAACAAATAGCTCTGTGAGGTTTGAGTGAATGAGTGTGTTTGGAAGTATTTGTATATGAGGCTAGTAGAAGAAATTATGGGAGATTTAAAAAACCGTACTAGAGTGGGGGAAGTCAGAGGCATGAAAAAAAATATTGATAAAGGCAACCAGTGGTTTACTAGTAAATGTTTAACAACCAGATCATTCATGGTGTGTGTGTGGGGGAATCCTGATTGGTATCATTTGCTAATTACCTTGGTGTAAATACTTCCATTTTGGCTAACTTTAAGCACCTAATTTGAAGTCACTGAACCCAGAGTTGGGAAAAGACGGACACAATTAGTTCTTGCCAGACAGTCAGAGCCAACACCAGTACACTACTAAATGCAACTTACAAGAAAAATGCATGTTTTTGCCTGTAAAAATCACCATATACTAAGTCAAAACGCCATCAATAGACTAGAAATCAATCCTTTCAACTAATACACAGCTGATGTCCTTAATATGAAAAGAGCTACTTCAAACCATTAAGAAAAAGTCCACAAGGAAATGCAGATGATTCTTAAGCATAATGAAAGATCTCAACCTAGTCACAAAATGATACTGCAACTTAACATGACAGTGAATTTACTTAGGATCAGCAAGGAGGAACATGTTTAGCAAGGAAGTAGGCACATTGCAGGTGGGAGTATAAAGAGAAGAAACTCCACAATGTAGGATTTGGCCACATCTGTGGAAATTTCAAATATACCCTTTGATCAAGGACTTTCTTCTCTAGAAAATTATCTGACAGAGACACACATGCACGTGGGGAATGTTCGTACCAGTTATTCAGTGCAGTATTATTTGTCGGACCAGAACACTGGAAACACCATAGTTTTCCACCAACAATGGACCAATTAAGTACTTTATAGTATAATATACTTCCAATCAGAAAACCATGGAGTCATCAATAAGAATGAAGAATGTTTCCTACGTACTGATACAGAAGGATCTCCAAGATAGACTGAGTTTGAGAAAAAGATGAATTTAGTTCACAGAAATGTACCAATGTCACTTCCCTAGTTGTGACAAATGTGCCAAGGTGATGTGAGATTTTAACGAGGAGGGAAGCTGGGTGAGGTATTATGGAAACTGTCTACTGTGTAAATCTAAAATTACTCCAGAAGAAAATTTTTTATAATTTTTATTAAAAATTTAATTTTTAATAAATAAAATTTTTATTAAAAATAATAATAAAGATGCAGAGCAGTGTGTATCATATGATATGTACATATATGTGTCTTTTTAAATGTCTATGCATAGGTTACATTTGGGAAGATAACCAAGAGGGAGGTACACAAGGTTCTGAATACTGTTTTATTCTTACTAAATTTTGCTGGGGGCTGAGTTGAGTTTTCCCCAAAATCATATGTTGAAGCCCTAACCCCCAATGTGATGGTATTTGGAGGTATCTTGATGGGCCTTTGGGACGTGATTAGGGTCAGATGAGGTCATGAGAGTGGGGCTCTCATGATGACATTGGTGCCCTTATAAGAAGAGACACCAGAGGCTGGTTCTCTCCCAGCCCTGTGAGGACACAGCCAGAAGGTGGCCGTTTCCAAGGCAGGAAGAGAGCCCTCACCAGGAACCAAATGGCTTGCACCGTGATCTTGGACGTCCAGCTTCCAGAACTGTGAAAAATAAACTCCTGTTGTTTAAGCCTGCCAGTCTCGGATATTTTGTTATGTCAGCCCGAGCAGACTAAGACATACTTTATGCTTCCTATTTTAAACAATAACATTAAAATGATCCAAGGAGGCTGGAGGAGTAGGTGGCGTCCAGATCCTAAGGAGAATGAGGGCAGGATGTGGGCCGAGGATGTATCCACGGCATGGAGACAGCACGTCCATTGGGCGTGGAAGAGGCCATGCAAATCCCTTGAAAGCAGGGTCAGCAGTGGGGGAGGCCAGCTTATAAGCTGATGAGCAAGTGGGGGGCTTCCCACCTCTGCTGTGCCCACACCTGACCTGATCCTTCCTCCCATCTGAGTTCTGAACCCCAGCTCTGCTCTGAAAGGAGGAGACAGACCCAGCTTCCACCACATCCCCTGGAGGGGAGGTTGGGTCCTACCTGTGCCTTCAATCCAGAACACGCTGGTGGTTAGGTTCAGGGGCACATCTGGACAGAGAGATATAATCGTTCCCTTTTCAGTGGCAGGAAGGTGGGCATTGGCCCTTTTCACCCGGAACTTTAGAAATAAGAGGGGGTGGATTCGGGTGTCCTCTTTCCTTCCTCCCCAGAACCAGCTTGCAGGACCCAGCACCCAGTATCCCAGGCCCTGCCCCAACCTCCCCCTCCCCCATACCCACTGCCCTCTGGGACCTGGCTGTCCTGGCCTGGCACTCACAGGACACATTGAGCCGGATGGTCCTCTCTGTGCTCACACCAGCTCCAGGGAAGGTCACTCGACAGGTGAGGTTGGTGCCGTGGTCCTGGGGCCGCGGGGTGAGGGTGAGCACCGAGGAGTGGGGAGTCTTGGGGCCCAGGGAGGTGAGGGCATCTCCGATCCAGGAGAAGGTGGGGGGCGTCCCCCTCTTACAGGCCCACAGCACTGCACAGGTAATGTTCTTTGGGTGGCCAGATTCTAGGGTCCCCTGGATGTGGATGTCAGGTGTCTGTGTCAGAGCTGAGGAGGAGAGAGACAGAGACACAGGCCTGGAGGTGGGGACCCCAAGTGTAACCCTAAGAGCAACCTCTGCCTCAGACCAGGTGTCTCCTCCCCAGCTGGCCTCTGTGGTCTGTCCTCCTGGGTCCCTCCCTAGGATGTGGAACAGGGACCCCTTCCAACTGCACGCTGGGGGCCCTCAGGATCCATCTATGTGTTCTTTCCTTGACCCCATTCCTTACCTGTCACATGCACAGAGAGTTGGTTCTCTGTGAAATTATGTCTCACATAAGACCCTCTCTCCAACATAAAGAAGTATGTCCCCTCGTCCTGTCTCTGTGCATCTCTGATGTTCAGGGAGCAGTGGTAGGTCTGGGGGTCTCTCAGGAGGTGGAATCGTCCCTGGGTGTCCACCTGTACTTTAAGATCTGGGTTGTTTGTGGCCACTGGAGCATTGTGATGTGGATTTGCCCCCTCTCGGAACCAGGAGCCGTGAGCAGGGGCAGAGTCAGTCCAATACTTCCGCGGATAGGAGAAGGTGCAGGGCACAGAGACACAGAGTCCCTCCTGGACCGTCACAGACTCCTGTACTCGCAACCAGAATCTCCCCTCCCGAGCCAGGGACCCTGTAGGGAAATGAGGGTCAGCTGAATCCCCTGCCTGCCAGCCCCCTCTCCCGTGACCCACTCACCTGCCCACAGCAGGGGCAGCAGCAGCGGCAGCATCTCTGAGATGGAGACTTCTGGGTTTCAGTCCTCTGTCTGGAAAGAGAAGAGGAAGGGGAGAGGGAGGGGAGGCTGTGGGGAGAAGCAAGGGGAAGCTAGGGAGGAGCAGGTGACCGCAGCCATTCACAGAAGAGGAACTGCAGGCTGGATCCTGCCACTCCCCACTGCACAGAGTTGGAAGACACCCCACAGCCCAGACACCAAAGGACCCACCCAGAGGCCAGCAGACGAGGAGCAGACCCTGTGTTCTGCCCCCATCTCAGGGCTTCCCCCCAGCACTGAAGCCTGAACCAGGACCTCTGAGGACGTCTGAGGAGTGGGACATGGTGAGTCTCTAAGGGCCTCCCATACGAGGTGCTTTTCTGAGCACTGTTGTCTACACCAGGGAGCTCGTCAGTTCCTGCCTGACCCTGGAGGGTCACAGCCTCATCTAGAGCATAGGTTGAAGATCCTGCCAGGATTCTTTAGGGTCTGTGTGAGTGTGCGAGGCAGAGGAAAAGAAGGGGGCCCTAGGTGAGGTGAAGGCAGCAGACATTCATTCATTCATTCATTCATTCCTCAAACACTTAGTGAGCATCCATGTGTTGGGGAGGCTGGAGACACGAAGGGAGATGACACACCTGGTCCATGCCCATGAGATGCTCCCCATCGGATTCACTTCCTCCCCGAACACTCAACACTGTCGGGCTTTAGGGCTGCTGTCACTGGTGAGTTTGCCATGTGTCCTGGAAGAATACTTGGTATTTTCTAAAATATAAGTATGGCATTTTTTTTGACATCTAGTCAAAAAACAAAACAAAACAAAACCGAACAACAACTATTTTCAATTGCACGACTTGAAACTCTATTCCCATTAAATTAGAACTTCCCAATTCCCCCCACCTCCCAGCCCCCAGCAACCACTGTCCCATTTTCTGTCTCTAGGAATTTGACTACTTCAGACGCTTCATATACTTGGAACCATATAGTTTTTGGTTTTTTTATGACTGTTTATTTCACTTACCACAATGTCCTCAAGCTTCATCCATGTGGCAGCACGTGTCATGATCCCTTGCTTTTTAAGGCTGAATACCATTCTATGGTAGGTATACACCGTATTGTGTTTATCCATCTAATCATTGAGGGTTGCTTGGGTTGCTTCCACCTTTTGGCTTTTGTAAACAATGTTGCTGTGAGCATGGGTGTGCAAATATCTCTTTGAGTCCTCATTCTCAATTCTTTTGGACAAATGCCTAGAAGTGGAATTGCCAGGTCTTACAGTAATTCTATTTTTAATTTTTTGAGGAACCACTGTTCTCTTATCATCACCTACTTGTTTTTATTTTTTTCTCTTTCTCTGTTGTCATCACCTTACATGGGCTATACATTTTAACATCTCCCGTCGGGACCCGTCTCCTGATCTCCAGACATTCATATTCAGCTCTCCAGCTGGCATCCCCAGTTGTCTATCAAGTGGCTTCTCAGAATGAACATCAGTCTTCCAAACCCTAGTCTCTGTCGTCCTCCATGGAACACACCTGCACACTTCCAGTTGCTCAGAGAAAAGATTTCTGCACCATCCTTGCTCCTCTCTTTCCCTCGCTTACCACATCCATTAGAAATTTCAGTCAGCTTGACCTTCAAAATATTTTCCAAATATATCTTCCCCACCTACACAGAGTCCCTTGTCCAGGGCACCATCACCTCCTGCCTGGAGTACCTAGTAGTGACGTGCCACGTCTGATTTTCGCTGCCCTGGACCTACTATGTCCGATTCTGAACATAGCAGCCATTGGGATCCTGCTAACTCGAGGGTCTAGTCGTGCGTCTGTTCCCCTCAAAGTCTTCCAGAATCATGCACTGCCCTGCACTGGTCTTCCACAGGGTCTGCACCATCCTCCCTGTGCAGTCACACATCGGCTTCTTGTCTCCACCACACACCATGCCTGCTTCTGCCCCAGGACCATTGCACTCACTCCTGCCTCTTCTCCATCTTCCTAGAATACTTTTCTCTTAGGGAAACACAGAGCCTGCTTCCTCCCTGCCTTCAAGTCTTTGTTCAAACATCATCTCCATCACATCACACTCTGCAATACAGAAAACCCACCCTACTGTGTCACAGGCTCCTTTACCTGAGGGGTTACCCCCAAACATGTGTTGATGCTCAGCATGCTCTACTTTTATTTATTTTTTTTAAATTTTCTCCATAATGACAGCATCTTGATGACAGAATTGCTTCTTGTTTCTTTTGTTTTATTTTGGTAAAATATCCATAAATTAATACTTGCCTTTTTTAACATTTTATATGGTACAACTCAGTGATGCTAAGTATACTCACAATGTTGTGCAACCATCACCACTGTCTATTTCCTGAACATTTTTGTCATCCCAAACAGTAACTCTGCATAGTTACACCACAATCCCCCATCCCCCATCCCCTGGTTCTATGCAGCCAACATTCTACTTTCTGTTTCTATGGATTTGCCTTTGTAGGTGGCTCACAGAAGCAGAATCATGCAATATTTGTCCTTTTGTGTCTGGCCCCTTTCATGTACCATATTGTTTTCAAGGTTCATCCATGTTGTGGCGTGCGTCTGAATTTCACTCATTTCTTTTTAAGGCTGAATGATATTCCATTGTATATATATACAACATTTGGTTCATCCATTTTTCAGCTGATGGACACAAGGGTTGGTTCCACTGCTAAGATGAATAACACTGCTATGAACAAATGTGAGTAAGTATCTGTTAAGTCCATGCTTTCGATTCCTTTGGGTACACACCTAGAAGTAGAAGTGCTGGGTCACGTGGTGATTCTATGTTTAATGTTTAGAGGAAATTCCAAAGGGTTTTCTATGAGGCTACACCATTTTTCATTCCCACAGCAATGCATGAGGCTTTCAATCTGTCAACATCTTCACCAACACTTGTGATTTTCTATTTTTTTTAAACATATAATAGCTGTGCTAATGGGTGTCCACATATTTCATTGTGGTCTTGATTTGGATTCTCTAATGACTGATGATGTTGACCAACTTTTCATGTGCTCCTTGGTCATTTGTGTATCTTCTTTACAGAAGTGTCTCTTCAAATCCTTTGGATGACCATGAGTTTTGAAGTTGTGTCACTGATACTCCCCTGGGGCCTATGACAATGCTGGCCCGTCGTAGGTGCGTGATAACACCTGTTAAAGGAGTCTATGAATGAATGACTGAATGTCACTCTGCTCAGAACTATAGAACGATAAACAAACACACATACGCAGCCCTGGGTGACATTTAAGACTGAGCCTGGGGGATGAGCAGGACTTGGAGAGGCAGGAATAGGGAGGGAAGGGCATTTCAGGGGATGGAACTGCACATACAAAGTCTCAGAGTCACAGAGGCCTTGACCCAGCTGAGGGTGGAGACATTGTCAGATGCAGGGAGAGGGAGGAACCTGGAGGGAGAGTCCAGCAGGGTACAGGCAACCACAGGCCTTCAAATCCAGCCTGTGGTGTTTGTACCTCGGTCTCTGGCCTTGGAGAGGACACGTAGTTGTTCATATTGTGCAGGATGTAGCCAATGATGGTCTCCGGAAACACAATCTGGAGGCCTGTGTTGAAGGGAGAGATGGAGGCAGGAGGTGAGGTGCATTCAGAGACCCAGGGAAGAGATGAGGCCCCAGGAATGACCAGGGTCAGGATGGGGAGGAGATGGACAGCAAGATGAGCTGTGATGAGGATAAAGGATGGAGAAGACTTCGTGATTTATTGGATGAGGGAGAAAGGAGGGAGGTAAAATGGAGAACCACATCCCATTTATGGCCTTAGAGATGGGGACCACAGTGTCAACACTGTGTGAGAGAACCCAGCAGAGAAGTGTGCTTGGAGAGAAAGATGGCAGATTAATTTTGGCCATGCTGAGTGGAGCGTTCTTGGGGGCCATCTTGGGGGAGATGTGTGGTATGATGTTGGGAGGTGAGACAGCCATGTGACTCACCTGAGGGATTAACCCAGGATGGTCTTTGCCCTACATGCCCCCTCTGGGCGACCCCTCCATCCTCCTGCAGGATCTAACTCTGGGATCAGAGATACAGCTCGTGCTTCCCCCCAGTGGTAGCAGGTGGAATCTGTGAACTGATACTACTACAAATGTGCAGGCAAAGGATTAGTTCATCAAACACCATGAGAAGCTATGGCAACAATTCAGAGCAGAAAGAAAATGATAATTCTCTAGAAACCAACCCCGAAGTCAAAGAAATTTACAATCTAAATGATAGAAAATTCAAAATAGCTCTCTTAAAGAAACTCAAGTTACAAGAGAACTCAGAAAGACAGTTCAATGAGCTCAGGAATAAAAGTAATGAGAAGAAGAAATACTTCACCAAAGAGATTGAAACCATAAAAAAAAAAAGCAGAAATTCTGGATATCAAGAATACAATTAATGAGATAAAAATAATCTAGAATCCTTAAAAAATAGAGGTGATATTATGGAGGAAAGAATTAGCCATTTAGAGGATAGAAATATAGAAACACTTCAGGTGGGGGAAGAGAGATAACTAAGATTTTTAAAAAATGAAGGAATTCTTTGAGGAATATATGACTCAATTAGGAGAAGCAGCATAAGGATTATAGGTATTCCAGAGGGAGAATGGAGAAGAGAGACGGTTCAAAGAAATAATAGCTGAGAACATCCCAAACCTGGAGAAGGAACTGGACTTACAAAAGCTTGAAGCCTATAGATCTCCTAATTACATCAATGCTAAAAGACCTTGCCCAAGGCATATAATAGTAAAACTGGCAAAAATCAATGACAAATAAACAATAATAAAGGCAGCAAGGCAGAAGAAAATAACCTAACAAAGGAATCCCTATCAAGCTTTCATTGAATTTCTTGGCAGAAACCTTACAGACTAGGAGAGAATGGAATGATATATTCAAAAGACTGAAAGACAAAAACCTTCAGCCAAGAATACCCTATCCAGTGAAACCATCTTTCAGATATAATGGAGAAATGAAAACTTTCCCAGATAAACAAAA